AGCAAATGAACTACAAGCACTGCCTCCTCCGATTTAGGGGATTGGGCTCTTTTCCCTCCCCGGTCCCTCCCTGGATCCAGCAAATGACGAACTACAAGCACTCCCTCCGCAATGTAGGGGATTGGGCTCTTTTCCCTCCCGGTCCCTCCCTGGATGCTGCAAATGAACTACAAGCACTGCCTCCGACGATGTAGGGGATAGGGCTCTTTTCCCTCCCCGGTCCCTTGCTGGTTGCTCTGGATGAAATTTGGCCTGATTTCATGATCCTGGTACAAATCTGGCGTAGGATTCTACGGCAAAATTCGAAATCAAGGCACTAGACYGCTAAAATTTGAAGTTTTTCCTACGTAACTTTTCTACTGCACTATGTACTAGTCACTTATTTTGTGAGCAAAATCAACGCTCTTTTCATACTTATGGTTCAGTCAATTGTTTCATTTAATGCTCTTGCCTTGTTGTGGGGAACCTTCCACAAACAACTCCAATAAGTATCCGACAAGCATCCTGACGCAATCAACTCATCTGATCATTAGTCTAATATACAATACTGAAGATATTTCAATGTTATTCGTTTGAGCTACCATTTTGTTATGCCGGTGATATTTTGCTGGAAGCTATTTGCTCCTCCTCAGCAGCTGCAAGCTGCTCGTTACTAAATACTGCTGTACTTGCTGCTGCTGCTTGCAAAGCTGCTTGCTTTTGCTTGCATTAATGCTTATTACTACATAAAACAACACGACGATTGTTGCTGCTGCAACGACGACTGCAACGTTGCAATGAGCTGCTGTTGAAGCTTGAGCTCGTTCCCAGCAGACTCAAGTTTCTTTTCAAGGGAAGCAGTCTTTTCTTTCTCCCATTCAAGCTCTTTTTGCTGAAACTCATCCTTCCCCTCACGAATACCGATTGCAAGCTTCTTCTCCTGCAATTCGCTTGTGAGCACCGCAATCGTCTTCTTTGCTTCATCAAGATCCTTTTCAAGGTCGATGATTCGTTGATGTTTCTTGTCACCAGTATCGCGATCGACAAGAGAGGAGGAGGACTCAACACCAGCTTCATCAGCTTTTCTTTTCTTTGCTGCAACTGCAGATGCTTTTTTTAGCTCTGCGAGAAGTTCTACTTTCAACTCAGTACCAGGGGACGAGGAAAGAACATTCTTATCGGTCGATGGCTCAGCAACGATTTGCTTTTGTTCCGACATCTTCTTTATAGAAGGCAAAGATGCGGCTTGAGGAGGCTTCTATTTTGTGTAATTGAAGCCAGCATGAAGAGTATTTTGTACTCTCTTTTGAGTCTTTGAGGTTGCATGGTCGTATACTTGAGACGACTTGGCACTTTTATGTCGAAGATGATTCATCTTAAGCTTTTCAGGAACATTCACGTCCGATGCTAATACAGTACAGCATCTGTGGCGATTATCATGAGGAGTGAACTTATCAGCATCCTTGTATCCAGCAGCCTGTGCCACTTCAYGGACCCACTTCCTTACAKCGTCCTGTCCTACCGGCACMAAAGACTTGAAATAATASGGACTGTCCTTGTGTCTGTGCTCATTTACATAACACAAGAACCTTTTCTGTTCCGGATGGCATCTCTGTCTATAGAAGAAGATCAGCTTKACRATRCARTAMGGATTSGTYTTGTCCTCCACTACCATGGGGAACATTTCACTTACAGTTGGATTATGCAAGCTGAGYTGRTTCCCYTTRTCGAAGCCTCCMCCKGGAGCRATGATYACATACCKATYRYTCTCCATYTTTCCATGGGAGAAGCTTCCRAGCTTCATGAAGCTCCAWTYAAGAAAGACAATYTCATCCCKTCCSCKGAGKCCAAACTGKCGGCCCAGTTCCATGGTGAGGATCTTCAGCAAGTCCTTCATATCGGAATAMGGCTTGTATACACCAGTTTGAAGCAAGCTTGAAAACTTAGCATCCCCATACTCATCAAAGGAAGCCTTATTCCTCTTGGTTCCCAGAGTTGGGTCGACAGCTCTCTTCTTGTTGAAATCAAGCTTTACGGCACTGAGGAAYGAGCCCTTCCCTTTGAAGTCGGCTTCATTGAACTTGATCCCCWTTTCATGGAAAGCTGAAAACAGCACCCRAACATACACTGAATGAGTGTTTGTATCCAGGGGCTCTCCGGTCTTGGTGTTCTTGATATTAAGAGTCCAGATCATGAGGGCTTGATTCATCAGAGTCTTCTTGAGGGCATCCTTTTTACCAGCGACGTTCCTGTAGAATAAGTAGTCTTCAGTTAAYCCATCACTCATAGGAACCTTCTTGGTGAACATCTCATACATCACTGAGTCTCCAGGACTGTTTGTTTCCGGATTYGTAGCCTCAAGGATGGTTTGAACAAAGCGCTTGAGACATCCTTGTCTTTTYGATGCATACCCTTTGCTGTTTGATTCAGCTGTTGCATACTCGTCGCTCCCCAGAGTGTTGAAGGCATTTGGATTACTAATGAGCTTCTTTGCATATTCAAGCTTTGCTTGTTCGGCGCATTCGGCAACAGTGGTGGTGGTGGCAGTGGCAGCAGCGGCAACAGCTACTGCTGGTGCCACCAGTGCCGGTGCGTTTGTTTTTTTCTTCTTGTTCTTTGCTCCTGCAGCAGCTTTCTTCTTGTTGTTCTTGTTTATCGCGGATACGCCACCAGCAGTGCTGCGTTTCTTGTTCTTGTAGATCGTGTACGGATTGCGGATCGGTGGTGGTCTTCGATTTACTGCTGGTGTTGCTGTGGTGGTGTTCTTGTTGTCTGTTTGATCAAGAGATACTCTTCTTGGCTTGTTTGTTGCAGCTGCTACTGCGTCGTCTTCTTCTGGTGCCAACTGGATCTTTCCTGCTGTTTGACTCAGCGTCGCCGCGGCTGCTTCTTGTTGTTCTCCTTTGTTTCCTCCCTTCTGAGGATACTTTTGTTTCGTTGTCCAAGTTACCTCAGCACCAATCGCCTTAAAGGCTGGATCGTCTGTTCCCTGAGAGGAGAACAGCTTGTTTTTCTTTTGAGCACTGTACTGAGACAGTTCTCTCAACATCTCCCTGCTTTCTGGCCACGCACCGCAGTTGACGCTGTCATCGTCCTTCTTCTTCTTCGTCTTAGCCGGAGGCGTTGTTGACTTGTTGCTTCTGGTCCTCATGATGCTTGTTGTTGTTGCTTGTTTTCTTGTGTTTTGCTTGTTTTGCTTGCTTTTTTGCTTGCTTCCCCCTGCAAATCGTGTTTTCTACGGTATTTTCTACGTGAGTTTGTACTAGAATAACAAAAGAATTCAGTTTTCATCGAAAACTGGTCACKATTTTGGTCAGTGCTTGTACTGTACTTCTACTTAGTATTCAGTACTGAATTCAGTACTGAATATCGTGAGCAACCAAGACTGTTTTTATTATCTGTTGAGGTTGCGCGCGTGGTTACAAGCGCACCGCGTGGTTACAAGCGCACCGGTGCGCTTCTTGTAACCAGATTTTGTAACCAGACCCTTTTTTTTTGTAACCAGACTAGCAGTAGTATCGTGTAAAAAATATTGGCTCTCCTTAGGAAAGGGTTTGGTTACAAATTCTGGTTACAAAATTCAGTCCGCGCGGTTTGTAACCAGTTGAGGTGCATGTACTTAAGCAAAAAAATAACTAGTGTTTGTACGCGCGATTTGCTCAACAAAATAATGTACCTAGAAAATACTACGAGCGCTGAGTACATGAAAATGTTGAGCTACTCAACGGTTACGGTACGTATGTAGCACGGGATAGAAAACGATGGATTTGGCAAAACGTACCGGTACAGGTACTTGGTACTAGTACCTGCATACCGTAGGCCTGAAAGAAGCTAGCTACTACTATGAGTTTAGGTAAAAAAAAGGCCGCGAAAACTCTGAAAGAAAGCAGAAGTACAATACCAAAGCACAGTACCATACGTATGTACGAGAAGTACATTAAACAACACTACTATGCGTAAAACAACAATTGAAACTACGTTAGTGGAGGCATTGGGAACGTTCCACCAGCCCATTGTTGCTCATTTCCATGTACTACTACTTTTACTAGTAGTGTACATCCACAAGGTGCTGGTGATGTTGCCACCACCTGTAATTTCACTGCAAATAAACAACCATATCAGTCATCAGATCGTTGTGACTGTAGAAACAGTAATACTTGTTGTTGAATACTTCAATGTCATCTGTCGTGGTACCAGTTACATGCCCTTGTTACTTGGACTGTGTCCATTACAGTCCCAAAACACTCCTCTGACCAGTTTCCCGAGCCCCAGCCCCAGCCCCAGCACCAGCACCAGCACCAGCACCAGCACCAGCACCAGCACCAGCACCAGCACCAGCACCAGCACCAGCACCAGCACCAGCACCAGCACATGATTGGGCTTCAGTGGAAGTCTCTTGTTGCACCTTGGTAAGCTTATCCTCCAGGGCCTTCCACATCCTTTTGTCCTTCCTTTCCTGTACTAGCTCCTTCCTTGCACACTGATTACTACTATGCCTGGGGATGTCAAATTCTTCAATCCCTGCCCATTATGTGGTTTCTCAGCATTCTTTGGAACTGACTTCCTTTGATGAGTGTCTTGGTGAAATAGTCTGCAATCATTTTACCTGTAGTAAGGACAGTACTCCACACTTGCCTCCCCTACTGTGATACAGTCTGTCACAAAGAAGAAGTAACAAATGTCCATGTGATGCATCTGTTTTCTGCTGGAACTCTTGCTGTTCTTCTCCAGCTAAATAGCACTCTGGTTGTCCTGGTAGATGATAATGGTGGCAATCAGGAATCCTTGTGCCTGAAGGAAGCGTCCCTTGTCCAGACTATCTGTGCCATTGCAACAGGAGTATATTATTGATCTGTTGATAGAAATGGCTCTCATCCCTGTTAAAGGCCCACTAACCTGGATGTGGCACCTCAGACTCCCAAGTCACACTGTTGAGGTATCCTACAGTCTTGAGGTGATCATATGAGATCTAAAAATTTCCCTGAAGGTTATAGCTTCTTGGCCCATCAGACTCATCATTGCTTTCATCCTCAGAGTTCCCTTGACAACTGGTCTCCTTGGTGGTGTCAGTATCATCCCTCAGGGTAAATATGATCTCCTCCTTTAGTAGGTATTGCCAGACCAGATTAATCTCCTCCCCCCTGAGTTGATCTCATGGAGAACTTCTTTCACCCCTGCCTTCCAGTGGTACTGATTGGTCCTGTAGACTCCTGTTGGGTACATTTATAGTGATGGGATGATCATGGGGATTGATATCCTGAGTTCTGGGATACTCCCCTTCATCATTTCCAGCTACTGACTCTTCATCATCATTGCTTGCTTCCATCAGATCAGGCACATCCTCATTCTCTTCCTGTGCCAGCTCTATTGCCTGTCCATTGGCGGGTACTGGGTTTGCTCTTTTGTGACCTGTACAAATCCTGGACTCAACTCCCTCCAGGTTGTCTTTGGCCAACTGGTTGACTCAGTCAATAGCCTTGCTTGGCATTGGCATTTGAATTCATTGGTTGCCATGTAATACCCTTCCACTCTTTAGGCTCTAAAAGTAATAGCCTCTCTGTGAGTTTCCAGTGGGCAACAGGCTTAGTGCTCCTATTGTGCAAGGATATACTGTATTGTTTTCAGTTGGCTCGTGTGTCTGTACATACGACTACCCAAACTGCAACTTGGTGTGCTTTATGGCATCCATATCAAGCCCAATTACAATTGCCCACGGGGGGGGGGGGGGGCAACTACATGCTTATATTTTTTGTGACTTTTTCTCCACCACCTGTGTCCTTGGACACTGTGGAAGCTCTTGCCTTTATTGGCTTGGCAGTGTGATTGGCGCCTGTTTGTTTCCTTGTTCATTGCATTGGGACTTGCCTTTTGGCTTTTGGCTTGTCACCAGTGCACCTTGAAATGATCATGGCATGGCTTTCATCCATCCAAACTTTGAACCAACTCTTTTAATGTCCTCTGAGTCCAGCCTCAGGCCTTAATTGGCTTGTCAGTATGCATAAAATCTGGTTACTCCTCCACAAACAGTCCTTGGAGGGAGGTGATCACTCAAAGGAGCTAGGATCATTCTTCTCCCTAATCAGGAGAAGTTCTGGTTGTGACCACATAGTGCCTCTTCTAGTTCATGAGGTTAAATGTAATATTACAAAGAGTTTTATTTGTTTGTGAAGCAATTCCACTGTTCTGTGCCCAGGAAACTTTTTGTGTGGTCTTGTGTGGATTCCTTTGACCTGTTCCTTGATTGTGCGGATATGTCATTCAACCTCTGGGATGTGGTCATCTCTGGACACAAAGTTGGTTGTTGCTCCAGCTGCTGATGGTATCTGTACCTAAATTGGCACACACTGATTATCCATATGGGTTGTTACTTCTCTGGACCTTCATTTTGAGTACACATTGTGGATGTTTGTTATACACTTGGCAAAAGTGGCCGCTTTTGAGTTAGCAACCATCTTTACTCTACCAAACTACAGTTACCAGTTGGTAGAACTGACACTAATTTCAACCCATAGAACCATCCAAACATCAAATTGGTGCAATTCCAGCACATGAACCTCCTAGACTCCATGCACCCCCCTCCAACATATTAAATCTATAAGAGAAACAGCTTCTCTCAATTTTCTGCTACAAAAGGCACAGAATAAGGAATGTACAATGGTCCAAGCAAAAGACAACCAAGCTGGATTGAAGTTTAAAATAATGAAGGGAAGCGATGGAAGACCAACAATGAAAGGGGAAAGGGGGGGAAGGAATGCCCTTCTTCCCAGATGCTGTACTAGAATATTGCTGCAAATGGGTACTGCTATTTTAGACAGATAAAACAGAAGTGTGCAAATTTAATGACCACCACAGCAACTATGATGGTGAGTATGACTTGTTCCAGTCAAATCCATCCTGCAGAACTGACAGTGGGCAGGGATTGGATGGATTGGGCTATCTTCAACTGTGATGAAAAATGTTATCCAAGCCATATTATGTGTCTTTGTGATCTAATGACAAGTGGTTTGGATGATACTAATGCATAGGATGAAATGGAATTATTCTTGATTGAAGAGGGTTTTATGCCTTTGTCTGCTGCTTCCAAAGGGAACCAAAACCAATAGACGTCCAGTGTCATCTAGGTTGAGTACTACAGTTTCCAACACTAAGGCACCCCCATACTCTTCAATAAGTCCTCGTTGTTCTGCTATAACTGACCAAGAGGGCACATGCATCAACAAGATTGTACAATGGCCATTGTCTTTGGTCCAAAATTTGATGGTTGATAAAATTGAGGTGGCTCAAGTGTCTTACCGATCTTCTAACATATCCACACATGAACTGTCTGATTTGATGATACTAGTACTAGTAGTAGTAGTATCTGGTGGTGGTTGTGCTGGTGTTCCTCTGGAGGACCCCTATCTAGGAGTTTCCAAAGGTGTTTACCATCTCCAATCTGATTTGCCATGGTTCAGGAAGGTGCTCTTTTTGATACCTGCTTGAAAGGTTTCTTTGATAATAAGATGTTGTTTGGAGAAGTAGTAAGAGTCTCTTGTGATCACATTTTTTTGTGATCAAAACCAATCACATAATGAAAAAGGGGGACCGGAGAAATTAAATTTTCCCAAAAACATCAAAATCGATACTGTATGGTTCTAGCAAAAAACTTATCAAGGAGAAAATACTTTCGCAATCAAATTGGCAGACACATTGGCAAACACCGAACGAACACCCCGCACAATGCATCGGTCGTCGCGATCGCTAGTGCTTCTTGGATCGCTGTATATTCTAACAAAGATAGATCCAATTTTGTCTCTTCTTCATCCATCCGTAGTTGAGAAACATCTCATCATGGTGTCTCTGTACGGCCAGTCGAGCATTTCGTTCCGCCGCTCAACCTCACGCCTAGCGAAAGCTGCCGATAACTCTGCAAACGGACGTCGTCCCGACGCGATCGTGACGAACTGCAACTTCAACGCCAACAAGAATCCCTTGCACCGTCCATCAGATCCTCGATCCGTGGTTGGAAATCCTTCTCAACTTGACGAAAAGGCGTCGGAGCTTGCGGAATGGCTCTCTTCCAAACGGAATGTCTTTTGTCTGACGGGGGCGGGATTGTCGACCGATTCAGGGATCCCAGATTATCGCGGTCACAAGGGATCCTATCACGTAGGCCACAAACCGATCATTCACCATCAATTTATGGAGCATCCTCACCAACGGAGACGGTATTGGGGGCGCTCCATGGTGGGATGGAAAACATTTGACCAGGCAAAACCCAACGTCGGGCACTATTCGCTTTCGGCTCTGGAACGAATGGGTCGTTTGGGTGTGAACATGGAGGATAGAGAAGATTTTTACGACGAGCAGGATCGAGATGAATTTCTATTTACTTCGGGACAACGGCGGTTGACGGTGTTGACACAGAACGTGGATTCTTTGCACGTCAGGGCCGGATCGAAGGACGTCCTTGCCATTCACGGAGAGAACAAAATTGTTAGGTGCATGAACTGCGGGCATCGAATGAAACGGAACGACTATCAGGAGCAACTGGAAGAGATGAATCTAGCTTGGTTGATGAAGCACCTAAAGCTATTGGAAGAAGGCAAGGAATCTTCCCGCCAGCAAAGCCAACTGCGACCAGACGGAGATGCGCAACTCGTGAAGGCCAACTACGACGATGTTGTCCTCCCTTCGTGTCCTTGCTGTGAAGATGGTTTTTTCAAGCCCGACGTAGTCTTTTTTGGTGACACGGTTCCCAAACACAGGGTTCGAATCTGCGAGCAAGCGGTAGAAAACTGCGATGGGATCTTGGTAATCGGAAGCTCTCTGGCTGTGCATAGTGCCTTTCGTCACGTGCGGGCCGCCTCCAGAAAGGGAACCTCGGTGGCAGTCCTTAATGTTGGAGAAACGCGGGCCGAGGCCGAGAAATTAGAGGGGCTTGTCAAGATTGAATCCCCGATCAGTGACACACTGCAACGTTGCGTGGAAATGATGGGGGGTGCGTTGTAAGCACAAAGTTTCCACTCTGAAAATCATCACAGCATGTGCTTTTAGAGGCTAGAGGTTTCGCATTTTTATTATAATTAGTCTTTTTGTAGTAACTACGTATAAGATGCACATCCATTTTGTACAAGAAGTATGCCTCATCACGAGATTATTCATCGTCAGAATCTGGCCCTCCGTCGAAAATTTCTGGAAGTTCATCGTCGTCGTCATCACTTTTGATGGACTTGTCGTCGATTTCCATGGCGTCGTCGCCTGCCTTCATTTTGTTTTCGTCGCCAACCAATTCATTTCCGTCTTTACCACGATCCGACGTCTCCACTTTTGTCATTACACCATGCTTTGTTTCGCTGTCAGTGTTCGGTGGATCAGATTTTGAAGATTGTTTGTAATCCTTCGAATCCGTTTTGATCGTCTTATCGACTTTTATTGATTTGTCCCTAGATGGCCTTGATTTGCTTTCAAGAGTCTGATCTGGCTTTTTCATCTCCGTACTTTTCTTCTCTTCAAAAGCTTTCTGCCGTTTGTTATCCGTTTCGTTCTTCTTTTTCTTGTCTTGCTGGCGTCTGTCTTCCGCTTTCCTCTTTTTTGTAAGTTCGATTTCTAACGCCGCCTTTCTTGCTCGAACAGCGTCGTTTCGGGCCGATTCGATATTTGTTGCTAGAGAAGCAGAATCGGTGGTTGCTATAGCAGACGGACCAGAGTCGATGCCACTGGAATTACCGGAACCAACCGCACGGTTTACATAGATTAATGCAGGAGCGCGGGGGATGGATAATGAGTCGCAAATTCTCAAAGCTGTGTTGGCAATCGTAGAAACTTCAATATCTACATCGTCTTTCAGCGTTCTTGCGGTGGAAGTCAATAAATCAACTAGCGAGCTCGACGCTCCATCTTGCCACGGAGTGGTCACGCAACTGTTCGCCAATCGGAGAATCGAAATCTTGACTGGGGCCCAAGAAAGGATCTCTGTACCCGACTGTCTTGTTTCACCAATTTTAGAGAGAGCGCTAACAACGACAGATTCAATCAAAGATCGAATGGATAACGAAAGAAAACCACCGCAGGATACCAAATTCATGCCTAGACACATTGCCGATGACGAGACGAGCTCTACTCGTTCCGCGGTGGTGCCCCAATCGCCATCATAATCACTCGTTTGCCCACTATTGGTGCTTATTTGCTCTATGAGAGAGCCGACAACAAGTGTTATTGCCTTTTCACTGTCCGTATTCGCGGTCAAAGAGTCTGCTGATGGTGACGCTTTCGAAAGACTCCCTGACGAGGTACTGCTGTCACACCCAAAGGCAGCAATTACACTCCCGAAACTTTTGATCGCGAGTGCCCTCGACGAAACCGAGAGGTGCAACCACCGTCTCTTCTTTCCTTCCAATTGCGCGGCACTTGTGGGGTCCATCACTCTACGAACCGGGCTCGAACTGGATGTTAAAATAGAAGCATAGGAAATCCGAAGAATGCGACGAGCATATGGTAGAAGCACCGGTCCACCCACTGCATCTAACATAGAATCCAAAATTTCATGCCCCATCAGCTTTATATGGTTGGCTACTTCGGTAGCGATAATCCTCGGGCTAAGCAATCCGTTGTCGATAATCTCGTTTCGAAGTCTTCGTTTCGTTCTATAATATATTGTTTCTGCCGAGAGTGGAAACGAAACAAAAGATTCGACAACACCCAACACCTTTTTGACATCTATTTGCGCATCCACCAAAGTCGAACTTCTATCCAATCCATCTTGCAAAAGAAGAAAATGGAACACTTTGGTCAAGCCACGAGAAAATCGATAGAAGCACTTCAGTCGAAACGATTCGTTCGAAATATCCCTGCGAACGAAATGAATCCATTCGTCCAAAGATGCGTGTAGTCTGTTGTTCTTGTACTCTTTGTCGCTGCCTTTAGTGAGAGGAGCCATTGTCTCCAGTATTACAGCCAGACCCGAAAGAGTATCAGACACGCATGCACTCCAAATGATAGAAGGGTTTTTCCGATCGATTCCTCCGGCCATCGGAAGGGAAGACAGAAGTCTAGCCGCCGAATCTTGGACAGAATCATTATCAATTGTCAATAGTTTCCAGCAAGTTGTATTGAGATCGAGTAGCATTGCGGTGCTACGAGATAGCTTCGTACCAAACAGGGTGACGAGAGAACAAGCCAGTTTCATACAAGTATTAAGGGTCAATATATGAATCTGCTCATCCCAATCCATCAACGTCAAGCACTTTTCGTCCTTTTTTCGATCGGATTTTATAGCCATATCGTGCACTATCATTTTTATAATATTCAAGAGGCCAGCCAAGATGGGTTTTCCGGATTGCGCCAACAGCTGATACTCAGCAAGGTTGCACGTATCCGATTCTTTCTCGATCTTCATGTGTTGACTTATCGCCAAGCATAATTCGGATGCGAGACTTATCAAGAGAGCTCGGTCTTCGTCAAGATTGTTCGCATAGCCCACCCCATTGAAATCGTCGCCCGAACCCGTCGGTGCCAATATCCTCAGAATGGCGGTGAACACAAGGGCTTCGTCCTGTTGCTGCGAGTTGGATGATCCGGGTATCGATCCCGGATGGTGCTTGATTCGGAGATCATCGGAGTTGTGGTTCTTGTTTCCTTTTCTCCCTTTTTTGCTACCCCGCTTTCTGCCTTCCATCGCTCTTCCCGACGGTGCAGAATTCTCGGTCGACAAGATGTGATCCGCCTTTTCCAAATCCCCTCGCAGAAGGCCATAGCGGGAATACACCGCGATCAAGTGATTGAACAAGTCAACGGTCTCCCGCATTCCAGCCTCGTAGTTTTCTGTCCCCTTTTCTCTCTTCTCTATAGATCGAACGAGACTCAGCAATCGAGAAGGATAACTGCTTTTCTTGCCTACAGGATCGGAGCCGGGTTCGACCAATCCATCGGCGGTTTTGGCAGAAGCATTTTTTTCGGTCGACTTCGATCCCTCCGGGAAGGGAGGGATAATTCCACTGTGTGTTAAAAAGCTTCGCTCTTCCATCGTAGCCTTCTTCCGATCGACAGGTGCCTTGCCAATCGAGTCGAAAATACCCCCACTACTTTTACCGAATTGAGAGAATGGGTTCGTTCGTACGAACTAGACAAAAATGTGGTATTTTCTTTTTTCCGTGTGATGGATCGAATCGAATTGCGTCAAAATCAACGTTCAAATGAATGGATGGGGATTTGTGAACTACGTACCTACTTTTCGGCAGATGGAAACATACGTATGTACTCATTGTTGTCACAAATAGGAATGACTGGTTTGAATCCCGTCAGTCTGTCCGTTTTTCAATCCTGCACGGAACAGATCAGTTTTTTGGTGAAGCCATCCATCACTGTCATCGTCAGAACGAACAACCTTCTTCCGTACTAGTTCTAGTCGAAAAACAAGCACACATTCTTATCTCCAATTTTCCTCCCGGGAATTGCGACAGCCAAACTCATTTTGAATCGAAAAGTGGTGGAGCAGCGAAAAGGTTCTTGTTGATCCGATCATCAACGACCATCGACAATTTTTTGACAAGAGTCCGTGAGATCTTCAAAATTGTGTCGACAAACTAAATTATAGCTATCAATACATTTGAGCTGATATTCCATCCAGTTCTTTCAATCAGTTTCGTCCTGAACCTACAATTTTTTTTCGGCAACTAAACATCACGGAACCACATCGCCAAAAATTATAGAAACCATGATCCGGCCGTCTCTTTTTCTCATGTCGCTGGTGATCTTGGCATGGGCTGCTCCGGAGACCGCTGCCTTCTTCATCCCGTCGGCTTCGCAGCGCGCACCGCTCCCAGCCACGTCGTTGTCGCCGTCGTCTTCCCGGCTGTCAGCAATCTACAGCCCCGGGAGATCGGCCTCCCGCGGGGGAAACAAGGACGAGCGATCGAAGCGACAGTATCGCGTAGGGGAACTCGTCCGGACGGAACTGTCCCGGATCATCCATTCGGGCGTCATAAAGGGGAGAGACGCGACCTACCTCGACGAAGAACTTCGGACACGCATCAGCGTCGTGAGCGTCGACGTCAGCCCGGACCTGAGGCAGGCCCGGGTGTCGGTCTCGATTCGAAACGCCAATCCGAAGCAACGGCAGCCCAGTGGAAGTGACGAGATCATGTACTTCGAGGACGATCCTGCGGTGGACAAGAGGCGGGCCTTTTCCTGGCTGGTGGACAACACCAAGACTCTCCGCCACACCCTGGCGCAAAAAATGTCCCACATGAAGACATCGTCGCCCGACCTCACCTTTCACCAGGTCGATGTCGCGGCTGCTACCGACGTCATGTACCTCATTGACAAGGTCTCGAAGGGATACAAACGAGAGAGCATCGGCGAATACGAGTTCCTGGGAGACATCGACGAGGAAGACGACGACGACGACAACTTTATGGACGACGATGACTGGGACGAAATGGACGAGGACTTTTTCGAAATGGAATAAGCCATGCCAACAGGGTCTGAATGAAGAGACTCGTGTAGAATTGACAAAAGAAACGCAGCAAGTCCATCCGTGAATTGTGAAGGTAGAATGCATGCAGGAGCGAATCCAGTGTCTTAGCTCTAAGTTGGATTCGTTTCACCTAAAATGTTGATTCTCTGTGTGTTCGGGTTCGTATGAACGGTACAAACTCACGGAGTGAAGCCATTGCTTGCAGGAAGTCACCATCACCATTATCATCATCCCACGTTCGAAACGACGAGACAAGTAAAGTACTACTATATAATACGCAGTAAACCATTCGTTCGCCGGGCCTTTTGTCGGGAATCTAGGGCGACCGAAGAAACGGACCAATTCTATTTCACGGAAATCTCTGAAAATGAATCGCACCGGAGAATTGTAATTGCCATCACTTACATCATTCCTATCGTTTAAGATAATATTTACATACTTACAAGAAATTTGATGTGATCGTGGTGCAATACCAGTCCAGGTGTTCGGACATCTCTGACTAACCTGTCATGTAGAGAGTTTTGCACTACGTGTTGTTTGTCTATCTATCCCTGGGGCAGAGAAAACAGCGAGAACTATGCAGGTTTACTACGACGACATTCCGTTGGTCCGTTCTCGCTCAGATTCGTAACCGTGCGGTTTCTATCGTTGGGGCGGCCCGGATCTTAAATTTTCATGTCTTTCTATTACAGTTCGTATTGTTGTCTAAACAATGTTATCTTTCCGCTGCCAAAAGTAACAAGTGCCTGGTTCCACACAAAATCAGTGCGCAACATTCCTACGACGACATTGCGTTGGCCCGTTCTTCCGCAAACTCGTAGTGCATGTCGTTGACATCGATGGAATGAATCTTGACAAAGCCGTCCTTCGTCATGTGGTACAGGTTGTTGATTCCTCCCGAGGCGGCATCGCGGTGGGCGGCGTGGTAAATGGCGCGCTTGCCAAGGTCAATGGCCTCTTCCACCGTCAGGTCCTCCCGGTAGTAGTTGTCGAGGACACCGTAGGCGTAGGTGGAACCACTGCCGACGGAAAACATCTTACCCTTCAGGCGGGTGCCATCGTCGTCGACGTAGTACAGCTGGGGTCCCTTCTCGTCCCACCCGGCAATCATGGTGCCCATCGACAATCCGTATCCGCGGTAGGATCTCATGACATTGGCAAGGAGCTTCGACGCCGAGGCCACCGAGATGCGGCGGCCGTTTCGGAGCTGGTACAGACGGCACTCCATTCCGAGGTTGCGTTCCCAAAAGGAGCAATCGGCGGCACCACCGGCCATGGTTCCCAGCAAGAAGGGGTTGATTTCGATCACTTTTTTTACGGTTCCCGAAGAAATGTAGGCTCCCATGGTCGAACGAGAATCGACGCTGACGATGACGCCACCCTGAAACTTAAAGGCGAGGGTGGTGGTTCCCTTCATGAACTTGACATCCTGGTTTTCGTCGCCCGTTCCGCACACCGAGGCGAAGTTGTTGCGGCAGTAATAGGCGGGCTGCGGTGTTCAGCAAAGGAAATATGATGTCGCAAAACGGGCCGACGGATAGGGGCAGAAACGCATCCAGACACGCAAGCGATTTGCAAGGATACACAGCAATGCGCAAGCGCATGTTTCGGATGCCAAACGCAAACAACAAGAGCTAGTGTGAGATCGGATCGGATCAAATGCATACAAGGCCATGGCGATTGTTTATCCATGAATAAGAAACGTACGTTGGAAACGTTGGGAACGTCGAATTGTGCCGGTGCCCCCATCAGCATTGCCGCGGACGGGGCCATAGGATCGGCATTCCGTTGTCTTCGGGCCTTGCGGCTTCCAATGTCGAGGATGTCGTTGCCGACCGGGACGATTGGCGCAAAGTCGGTCATGGTTTCTGACTAAATACTTTGTATGTAGTATGTGTTGCGTGAGTGCGTGGACTGTTTCTAATATTCTCTTCGAATTCACTTGGAAGGAACGGATCGTTAAATTCCTCTCAAAGGCTTTCAAGACTGCTATAGCGACGGGGTTGGGTTGGGTTGGGTTGTATTACCAGTGTGAGTGGGAGTCGAGAGTACAGAGATGCTTTTCCCTAACGTTCTATCGTGGGTTCCTTCCCGTCAAGAGACTATCACAGACAACACCAGCCCAGTGCACACAACCCGAAGATCGATACCGAAGCGATACGAAATAATGTTCGAAAATCATAGATTGATTCGTTCGACTACCCCGAAAGTAGCTGTACGTGACTGAAAAAATGTGATCCCGTAATACTGATCGAATTACTGACTACTGCCAGACGTGAACGGGGGACCTGTCCAACAATCTATCTCTCCGGTATTTTTTGTTTTTTGTTCAGATGAAACACTCTTTTTCCCTCTCGACAACGATTGTTTTTATGGTAAAGCGGTCTCGGGATGATATGAAACAGACAGTTGGGTCGTCTGAGAGAAGCGGGTACAGAATCCGTTTCACTCCGCGGGGAAAGCGTCTCGCATACAGAGCCTTGCAAAACAATCAACACAGAGTAACACCTTCGTCCAGCCAATACACCTCCAACCAACAAACACAAGGACCATGTCGATGAAACTCGTTCGAAAATTCCTCCAGCAGGACGACGCAAACGCCCCGTCGGAGGGAGACGGCGGCGAAAGCAAGCCGCAACAGCAGCGACGAAAGCGACGCCTGGGCCAGGACCCGTCGCGCACCGCCGTTTCCGAGGACGAAGCCCTGCAGGCCACCATACGGAGCCTGACGTACCTCGACGGAGCCATGGAAACCCTCACGGGCAAGAGCGACAGCAAGAACAAGGCGATGAAACGCATCCAGAAGGAAGCCAGGGACGMCAAGAAGAGGCGCAAAGCGTCCAGGGACGCAATGGTGGGAAACAGTCGGTCGTCGTCGTCGCAGCTGAGAGTAAAGGCCCCGTCGACCTTCAACAAGAAGAGGCATAAGAAAGAAAAAGAAGAAAAACGGCTGAAAGAAATCGCCAATCTTCTGAACAAGCGAAAACTCGAAAACAAATAAACGACCGATGGAGAATAGATCGGATTGGAATGCGATTGAGTGCTGGAATGAGTTTGCTAGGTTTCTTGCGACTACACCCACGGGAAAATAAAAGTTGGTCGCACCGGAACTGTCCTTATCACACAAGATAAAAAAATCCAAATGCCTCAGAATTTGTAAAGTAACTATTACATATTTAATCTAAAACGACGAATGTAATCATATCTAGGATTTTTGCAAAAATATGAATCCTTCTTGTTGCTTGTAAACTGCTTCGTCTTTTCGGGTTTTGCCCTTGGATAGAAGACGGAGCGGTTATGATACGGTAGGTGCTACCGGATTAAGCTGTAGGATCGACCTCATGGCCCTCGAACCACGGATCTCCAGTACCTCGACCGCAACCATCCGGGTGACGGATATAATCTCCTCCAGGAGGGGTTCGGCGTCCTTTCGAAGTCGCTCGTCGGTCAACAGCGAGCCCATTTCCTCGACGACCTGTCCCATCGCGAGTAGCCTCGCCTGCCCGCTGGAATTGGTGTTCCCGTCGTCGTCGGTCGTCGCCAAAGCACTCTGGAAGGTATCGAGGAGCTGCTTCATCTCCGACATGACCCGCGTGTTCACTGGTCCGTTCATCCCCGGCAGGGAGGGCAGCAGACCGTTCGTGGCCCGGAGCAGGTTGGCCTCGCCGATGCTGGCCATGCCGTCGATGGCCTCGGCGAGCTCGTGAACCAGCGGGCGTTTCAGGAAGAGCCCCGTCTTGCTGGTAAGGAATTTGTAAAAAAGCTCGATTGTCTGCCGCGAGAGCTTGGCGGAGTTCTCTCCCTCCTCTTCCTCGTCGTCCGCGGGGTTGTATTGCGAGCGGGCTTTTTGTGCCAGCCGGAGGAGGTCCCGAAGCCGGACCCAATCGATTTCCTTCCCCTCCCCGTCGATGGTCAGCAACCGGATCAAGAGGTTTTGCAGGGCCACCGGGGTCCGCTCATCGTTCTCGGGCTGCAAGAGAGATCGCAACACGTATGGATAGCTTCCCCGGACAAGGCGGAACCTAGGGTTCACGGAGAGCGCGACTCCCTCGAGAATGGTGAGGCTGCGAATGATCACCGTGAAGAAAGGAGGCGTGGAAAACTCCAGCAGATTTTCCCGGCTAATCGCATCGAGTTCCGCCTGGAGTTTGGCAAAGTTGACGTCTGCTGCCTTTCCGGTGCCACCGGTGGAGTTTTTCAGTGCGGACCGCAATCTCGGAATGAGCTCGTCGAGCTGTTTGGGATCGTCAATGAAACCAAGCTGTGCAGCGATACAGAAAACAACAATTTTTTAGTTCCCGACTGATTCCAAACATCAATTATTTGTATGTAAACATTCTACTTACTTTCAACAGGTTGTCCGATACCAAACGAATGTCCTTGCTTTGGAGGCCGATGCACAGGCCAAAGAGCCCGTACCGATCCTCCTCGTCGATGTCCGCCATCATTCCAAAGTCTAAAAAGGCAAGCTTGTCGTCTGCCTTGAGCAGGTTCCCGCGGTGGGGGTCGGCGTGGAACAGGCCCGTCGTCATGAGCTGGTCCACCGAGCACTTGAGGCCGTGCCGGACCATCTGGATGCCCTCCTCGCCGTCCCACGGCCCCTTTTCGCCGTCGACCCACTCCATGACCAAGACCCTCTTTCTGGTGAGGGCGGTGCACACGTCGGGGACCATAATGTTGTCCCAGCTTCCGTACAGGTCCCGAAAGCGCAAGCAGTTGTTGGCCTCCCGTTCGTAGTCGAGCTCGCCAAAGAGCTGGATCCCGAATTGATCGGCGATCCCCAGAATGTCCCCTCCCCTCATCTTGCTCAGCCAGCCCGCGGTCCGTCGGATGAGGTACATGTCCAGTGACACCGAGGAGGCCACATCGGGCCGCTGGACCTTGATTGCCACCACCTTTCCACCCCACTCGACGGCCAGTTCCGGTCCCAGCGCTGCCTCGAGCTGGGGTCCCTTTCGTATCCTGGCCTTGTAGACCTGGCCGATGGAAGCCGATGCAACGGCCTGGTTGTCGTTGTCGAATTCAAAGAGGCTCAGAACGGGGTCGTTGGCCACAATCTTTTCGAGTTTTGAGCTTGCCTCGCGCCGGCGCTTCCGGAAGGAGTCCTTCCACGTTGCGGGCGAACCATCCATCCTCTGGCGGACGTCCTTGAGCTCGCTCCGAATGATTTTCATCGCTTCGACGTCGGAAAAGGATCCGACCGCGTCCACCAATTTTCCCAGCTCTTCCGCCCATATCTTGTTTTTGATGAGATCCGGTCTCAGACTCAGCGCCTGCCCCGATTTGATCAGGGCCACCGACTTGGACTGAACAAAGGCTTCGCGCAGTTCCTTGCCCCTCTGGCGCTGAACCGACGGAAGCCCGAGCACGCCGTTGGCGTTGTCGATGAGCAACCGACAGTACCAAAACAAGAGAGGAAAGCCGAGTGTGTTTAGTCTCCACCCGACTTGCAGCGGACGCATGTCGTAGTATTCTTCGATAGCCCGAGCATCGTACCCGGTGACGGGCATGGGTTTCATCTTCTGTTTGTTCCGGGATATCCTCTGGTTTTGTTCGGTTTCACGGGTCCTTTCGTTGCCGATGTTATTTCTGTTGATATAGTTCTGAATTGTGGGCGATCTCGTCGATGGCTTGGATTGCAGCGGATTCCAATAGCTGTCGTTCTCGTTTCTGTTCCCGATGCTTTCGTTGTCGTTTAAACGGCTAGCTTTGCTGGAAAAGAGTGGGTTGTGCCTCGTGCTCGGGTGTTCGGGGCGGTGCCTCAAGTGATTGCTGTGCGGATAGTGATACGGCTGGTGCCGCCGTGGCTGGAATGCATCGGCACGAGAGTGCTCGTTGCCGCTCAGCACAAACAAGAGCGACACGAGGAACGGCACCGAGGACTGAAACGTTCGCACCGCAATGAAAAAGGATCGCGGTTCCTTTCGATGGCTGAGACCACCGATCGTGCTGGTTGGTCTTCCATTGCCGTGGCCGCAATCCGAAAACATGCGTTTCCGCGAGGGTTGATGTTGCCAATCAGCTGCCGTCGTCGTCGTTGAAGGGTTGCACGTGGTCCCTGCCATCGTGCAGAGAAAGAGGTTTTTTTGTCGGTCAACGGAGACTCCTTTTTTCTCGATTGCGTTTTGTCGCGTTGCTCTGGGCCGTCGTTGCTATTTCTCCCCTTACCCTCCAACCCATTTGGTGCAGCACCGTGCGGTAGTGTGTGATTCAAGCAGTTGGATTCCTCCTGACAAACTTCCTCGGAATCTGTTTCTACATCAAAGAGCAGGTGACTCCAGGTGGTAGGTGTCAAAATCCCATCCGAAGAGTTCAGGAAGCGAATCAAAACAGAACAAAATGTGCCCGGCACTACGAAAAATCTTCTGCTGATTCAACTTGTCTGTCTGTAGCTCCGGTCGGTGGCGGCGTAGAGTGGAGGAGAAATCAATATTATCTCGACAAATTTTCATTCAAATTTCGTTTGTTTGATTTGGTACAGTACGTACCAGGTACTACTGTGTACTTTATTAGTTTGTTGGTGTTTGGAACGAGTAAAGTAGTATCGGTAAGTACTTGGACTTCGCTCACACGACTTGCGCTCCTCCTGCTCGTCTATGATGCATGGAATCTTAAAATTAAGCCTGCGCGCGCATAAGGGGCCGGATCAAAATACTGCACGTCCTCATCGTTCCAAACATCCTACAGTACAATCCATTCTTCCCCAATCGGAAAAAGAAAAGAATCGCCATGATAAGTTGAACACTCGTACTCGTACTCGTACCGATTCGAGACATTTTTGATCAACGGACAACAACAGTAACAGTAACTGCTACGTGTATCGTCTGCATATGCAAAAAACATGACTAGGTTTCGGAAATGAGGAACACCACAGCCTTCCCCAAGTTATCACTGCGTTCGGTATCATGTTTGCTGCATCTGATAGCTATGCTGCGATGCACGGTATCGTTCTTGTCAACGGCTCCGGTCGCTGGTTTTCGCAGTTTGGACCGCTTTCGTGGTGTTGACGCAAGCGCGTTTCGGTCGCCAGAACCGCACGGAAGGAGGCATTCCGGGGCCGTTCGGTTCTTTTCGATGCGGCGGGAAAATTCTTGGATTTTGCTTGTGGACGACGAGGATCCCATCCGGAGGGCGGTCGGGCAATTCCTCCTGGACAAGGGCTACAAGGTGACGACCTGCGCCGACGGTAGGGCCGCCCTGCAGCTGGCGCTCAGCAAGCGGAAGGAAGGGATCGGGCCGGTACCCGATTGCATCATCAGCGACATCCGCATGCCGGGGATGGACGGCCTCGAGCTGCTGGGGAGCGTTCGCAACAACGCCGAGCACTCGGTACTGTCCCACGTTCCCGTCGTTCTGCTGACCGCCAGGGCGAACGTCCAGGACCGGATCGCCGGGTACGACGCGGGAGCTGATGCCTATCTGACCAAGCCGTTTTCTCCGGAAGAACTAGTGGCTATTGTCGACAACGTGATCGAGCGGTCTGAGGACATTTCGATCGAACGAGAGGAACTCCACAAAACAGTTGGGATCGAGGACCTCAAGAAGGACCTGGCCGAGATCAAGGACCTCCTACTGAACAAGGGAGGTTGTGGAATCGGAAACGGCTGGGTCCAGCAGACCAACGTCTTTTTGTCGAAGGACGAACGAAACGTTCTGGACCTCTTGTCGCGAGGCCTCATCACAAAGGAGATTGCGGCCAACACCCACTTATCCCCGCGACGGATTGAGCAGCTCTTGACGGGCATGTTTCGCAAGACGGGGGTGAAGAACCGAACAGAGCTGGTCCGGTGGGGCGTCTCTACGGGCAACGTCGAGTAGGCGTGCGCATTACACATACTACAAGCTACTGTACTTTTATAGAACGCTTCATGTAGTAAAGGCCTTGTTTTCTAGAAATGATTGTACACAGATTGCCTTAAATTTTGCGATGGCGAGCGATAAGTCCTAAAATAAACAGTACTAGAGTGCGAGAACCGATCCTTAGAACGGCCGGTACTCCTTTTCTTGCTTTAGGCGCTTTACCTTCCTCACGTCCTCCTCGAATTTCCGTCGCAAATCTTCCATGGTTCGCCTCCGGTTGTCCGCCCGCTGAAACCGATAAAAATCAGTGAGCTCCCCGGCACCGTAGGCCTCCTTCTTCTTCCGGGTCCGCTTGTTTCCCTTTCTGCGGCTCGGGGTCGTGGCCGTGGCACTCTGCTCCAGGTCGATCTTGCTTCCCACGGCACTCGAGTACGAGACCGAAACAAAGCCGTCGGCGTCGGGCTCCGCCCGCGCGGCCTCTATGGCGAGGCGCTTGGCTTCCTCGGCCTCCTCGTAGGCCTGCATAACCGCGTTACATTCCTCCATGAGCTTGGACCGGTTCTTGAGGAACCGGCAGCTCTCCCTGTAGCGCTGGGCTACGGCCAGGACGCCTGTGGGCTGTTCGGGTTTCGTTTGTGGCTTTTTTGTTCCGGTGTTCTCGTCACCGTCCCCAAAATCATCGTCGTCGTCGCTTGCCTCCTTCACTGTGATTCGAAGAATTTCTTCCCGTTGCCGCATGCTTTCGTCCGATAGGGTTTGCAGTTCGAGCTTGTCGACGATAAGCGCATGTTCTTTGTTAGTTTTGTTTGATTGGTCCTTGGAACGCCGGCGAGACGATTTTTTCCCTTTTGACGAAGCAGACWTTAGATCTTCCAGTGCCTTTTTCGCTTTTTTGAGTTCTTTGGCGGAACTGAACACCACGTGAGCATACTTTCCCTCGGTTGACGAAAGGATAGGAGGCAAAAAGGTTGGCAGAAAGGCTGCCTCCTTGTCGGTCCACGCAAAAATGCTGTCTGAAGACGACGTTGTGGCGTGTGAAGTGATTCCGAAATCACCGTCCTCATTGGCTACAGCCGTGGCCGCGGCTCTCGGATTCTGGACCGCAGTGACCCGGGTCACCTCGGCAAACCTCCCAAAGATCGATTTGAGTAGGAGCTTGGTTGACACACCGGGAACTACGGGCGCGTTGGCGACGAACAACGTGGTTCCTTTTTTAGTGGTTGTTCCTTGGTTGTTGCTGGCGTTGTCGTTTTCGGCGGACCTGCCCTGGTGCTCCCGAACAAAGAAAAACGCGTCCTCCGTCCCGTCGTCTTCGTCTTCTCCCTGTCGAGCGACGAATTGGGGTTGGCGCGGGAGGTTGAGACGGACGGGTATGTACCCCTTGATCAGAGGCACCGATGAAGAAGTTGATGCAGGCATTCTTTTCGGAGCCGGTTCTCTGGCTGCTGTTCGATTGATATGGGATTAGTGTACTCGAAGCCTATTTCTTAGCGTATCTGGAACTTGAATCGAGGAAAAAGGAGCCCTGCTTGTCGATCGATGATCGTTCTGCGTTGACCGTCGCAAGACGCGATTTGTTCACGATTTTTTTCGTGAAAGAAATTTTGGCATGAATGGTGGAGGGGACGAGAGCCTAAAAACGAGGGTTGAAGTCGGGGCTTAGATAAGAAATATTATGTTCGTGAGCTATTCATTCGTGAATGAATCAATTGTGACGAAAACTTTTGGTAGAGCTAGGTACATACTCGTACGATACCTACCTATCTTTCCACGAATGGTTAGTCGCTAGATAAAAGATAAGATGCTCGAGAAGATTTTTTGTTCTCGCGTTCTAGCGGCCGTCCGTGTCTCGTTTCTCTACTATCTACCGTACTGTATTTTGTATTTTCTACTGTATTTGAAACCTCGCCCAACGCAGTACGAGTACCAGTACCAGTACCAGTACGAGAATTCGCACGTGCTCGCACTTTCGGTTTGAAAAAAAGGTTCCGAGTAAAAACAAATTAAAATCATTGTGGGGAGAGAAGCCATCGACAACGGCATATTCCATCAGGCGCGAGTCAACCGAACTCGTATTTCCGATGAAGAACGACGAAGAACCATCGTCCTGTGATGGCGACGGGGGACAGATGATGGAACTCCCGGAACCATGTGCGAACAACAACGAAGCCAACCCGGACGGAGTCTGTGGTGCTTTGAGTTTGGACATCGCAATGCCGTCGCTGAAGGCGAGGATCGAATGCGGCGGCCTGTCGATCGACACAGAACCGGCTACAATACCCTGGCCAGAATTGCATTCTTCTGATGCAAATGCCGCGGCTATGGAAGGATCGTCGTATCCGGATCACTCGCCAATCATACCAAGAAAATTCGTCAAGATCGACAACACAAAAACTCCGAGGGCGGCTCTCTCGGCCGGGGGAAAGGAGAGTGGAGAAAATGCCACAGCAATGGACTTTGAAATTCTTCCGGACGAATCTGACGAAGAAGAGGATGTAGACGTAGAAGCAAATCCAAGCGACGAAAATGGGAGCGGAACCAGAAACGACGACGAGAACGTTATAGGAGTGGAAGAAGGATTCCAGAACATTATGAATCAAATTGGGGAATTAGCTATGGATGAGAATGATCAGTCGCCAAGCAATAGTGGCAGTGATAATGAAGAGGACGTTGTTTTCCCTTTGTCACTAAGAAAAAATGTCGACGCCGATGACGAAGTACCGAATCCCTTCGAGAGTTCTGCGTCGGTGGCCCAGAGCTCTGCTGCGCCGTCGTCGTCTCGGAGACGATTTTTGTTTGCTCCGAAATCCCCCAAGTCTCAACAAAAAAGTATTGGCAAATTCACCTCCTCCCTCACGAACTCCGACACGTCTGGAAATGACGCAGCTGCCCCATCCGAAAAGGAAAAATCCAAGCGGGGACAAATTCTGACAACAATGATTCGGAAAATAGGGAGGAAAGACAATCAGAAACCCGATCCATTGCCCGACACGACGCCCGACATAAATTTGACCGACAGTGCATTGGACGAGCAGGATTCGTCGTCCGACGAGTCTTCATTTGACGAAGACGAGAACTGGTCGGACGAAGAATCACAACTATTTGACGACGATGTTGACGAAGCGATTGACTGCTCCAATCTGAAAAGCTCGCTCCCGAATAGCTTCTTGGACCTGCCGCCCGACATTTACGACTACCTGGACTCAAATTTGGTAGCAATGATTGGAAACCAGGACGTCAATACCTTTGCTCGCGAACACCATCTCTTCGTCAAGGGCCTGCTCCAATTACTGGCGGAGCGCGACTTGATTGGCGTCGAGGACGACGTTCTCGAGACGCACAACATTACCAAAATGGGCGTTTTGAGAAAGAAGGATGCCAAGATAGGATCACGCATCAAGTATGTCGAGGTCCGGAAGGGAAACCTGACGTACTTTGAAGACAAAAAAGAGAGCCAAATAGGGAGAACCATCCATCTGCGGAAAAGATCGTGTACGTGCAGGGTATCAACGAACAGGGAAGCTGGGCAAGATTTTGTGTTTGAGTTGATAGTCGACGGAGGCAGAAGGTTCCTTTGGACCGCACAATCGGAAGAAGAATGTTTGGGATGGGTCCGGGCCATCAACCAGGCGATGATTGGCGACGTCGATGATTCCAGAGACTTGCCATTAGATTTGACCCTGTACCGAAACGCTGTCGAAGACTATCAGTCTGTCCACAAATCATTGAAAGAGGCACAGACACGCCAAGAATATCTGGTCGCCATGAACACACTATTTTACAGACAGACTTCGTCGTCGGCACTCAGAGTTCCTATGAAATGGATTCGAGATACATATTTAGAAGAAAAATCAGAAGAAGAACCCATGAATGACCACGAAAGGATAAAGTACGCTGTTCGAGACTTTTGGAAAAACCTGTGCAACAACACGATCGTACTGAATGGTCATTTAGTAGAGGCCGATGGTGTATATTCTGGCGAACGGGTAATCGGTGCACTCTCCCGATGCATTCTTGAATTCGATAAAGTAGAAAATAACACGGACTTTGACCAAATCTTCAATTCTCTGAAACGGTCTCGCCAAGAAAGTCATTCCATAACGGAGTTAGAAGCAGTGTCGTACGCCAGAAATATACTGAACGGAGCCCTCCAGAGCACAAGCAAAGGGGATATTAAAGCGGTAGTTGAAGGATTGTTCCGAAACGAGGACGTGGCGTATGCAGAACTTGAAAGCTCGGAACCACTCCATGTTTATGTCTCTTACGCCGGGGATGATTTCTCCGAGAGCAAACCCCGTCCAACCGAGAATGTAGGATGGATCGAAACGAAATCAAAGAAAAGCAAAAAGTGGAAGTATCGCTATTTTGTCATTTCGGAAGGTGTCTTGAGCTATTTCGAACGCGCAGAACCCCGTCCCTATAGGCTTGGCGGCCAAATGGTTCTCCGAGATGCAAAAATCACGATTTTGGAAGGAAATATTCTCTCGCTTGACGTACAAAAGCAAGAACGTTTGTTGCGTTTTATGGATCGAGGTGACTTGATTCGATGGAAGTCTATAATTGAAGACAAGGACAGCAAAGGGGATGTGGCGATGGAAGCAGATTTTGAAAACTTTGAGGAAACACGAATCGATGGGAACGACGAAGAATTGTTGACCGAGACGCCAAACAGAGAAGAAGACAATACACCGCCCTCGAAACCGAAACCAGTCGTCCCGCTTCCCGACGAAAACGCGACCGATTCGAAGAGCCGCAGGGCCGTCAGGGGTGCGAGCGCAAAGATCCTGAAAAAAGCCACCCTCGCGAAAAACGGAATGAAGCGGGCAAAAGATGCCACCGAGGCCCGCATGAAATCGATTCGAACCGGAGCGGGAAGGTTCTTTGGAGGCAGAGGAAACTCGAACCCGGAGGGAAAGATGAAACGCCGACCAACGAACGACATGCTGGTTAGCAGCACACGAAGCCTTTACGGTGTCACCGAAAAGAGAGAACCAACGGTCCAAGCGGTTGTCGAAATGAACAACGTATTCAAGGTCAGGTCCAAGGCCAGCACCAGCGATTCCAATGGCGAAACTTTGCTGTAAGTTGCAAACGATCGATTCGATTCCACGCTCTGTTTTCTTTCGTGTTCGTTTGGCAGGTTTTGCGCGCGTGACTTCCTGCATCAGTGCAAGAGTCGAATACGATACGAAAGCACTCATGCATACCGCCTCCTGCCTCTTGTATTTTTTTGGTGCGATGCTCTCTCTCTCTCTCCACACATGTATACAATGCGTTGTACTGTAGAATTGTCCGTGTAAAACTCTATCAGGCATTCCTTCTTTCCGGGGGCCCACACGGGCGACTCGCTTGCGGCGACGAGTTGTTGCTGATGGAATTCTCGGTTGGCGAAGGTGCTGAGGATATACAAAATTACGTCTTGTTCCAGGCCCCAACGTCCCTGTAAAAAAGTCTTCTTCCCATCAAACGACGGAGTTTATTACAAATGCTTTTGCTAATATTATTGAACAACACTAACGGGAGACTTTCCAATGATTGTAGATTACTGGCAACGTAAATACTAGTTAGTCCGAATAGAATCCTAGAGTGGTTGTCGAAACAAGAAATAATTGCGGACGAAATCAGGAACACCAACAGCTGGAAAAGGAAACGGCCAATACAGCAGTGGCGAAAGACACCTTTGGGGCAAAACAATGTCACTTAAACATTTGTACGGATCATGGGGAAGCCAACAAGGTACCGTTTTTTGTTTACTGTACTTCCTTGTTACGTGTTAAAAGCCATACGGCTGCTGCTGGAGGGGCGGCGGTTGCCCATAGGCTTGCTGCTGCTGGGTAGGTTGTTGCTGCCCGTATTGAGCTTGCTGCGGCTGCATTCCGTATTGCTGCTGCATGGGCGGCGCCGGGGCTTGCATTCCGTATTGCTGCTGCTGCAGGGGCAGCGGCTGGCCATAGCCCTGCATTTGCGGCTGTTGCATTCCTCCATAGCCCGGCTGTTGCAGTGGCGGTGGCTGCTGCTGTCCCATCATTCCCGTCGCCGGCGGCTGCTGTCCCATCGTGCCCATGCCGCCGTAGCCACCAAAGTTGCCCTGTTGGTTGCCCGACAAGACCAGTGCTCCGGGTGCGGGAGCTGGGGAATTCATGACCGACTTTTTGGGTTCGGAAGGCTTCTTCGTCTTCTTCATGTCAGCAAGCGACAGGTTAGCGTTCGCGGTCGACGTTGTCCCAGCCATATCGAACGGGTTTTGGCGCGAGTCGGCACTCTTGTCTTGCACCAGGTCAAAGGCATCCAGGTTGACCAGTTTCGCGTAGGCCTGGTCGGCCATGGAGCCAGCTGCCTGCCCGGCCGTGCCGTTGGTCATGGCTTCCGTGACGAGTGGTCCAGGCTGACCGCTGAGCACGTTCATAGATAAAAGTGCGGGATCGGAAGGGGGTGCCGGGGCAGGCGCTGGTTCTACAACAGGCTCCTGTGGGATCGGCTGTTCTTCCTGTTCAACACCGAGCTGCAGTTGCTGCGGCTGAAGCTGCGGCTGCTCCTTGGGGGGCCCAAACGGTTGGGCCAACGGGGAAGCGAATCCGAGGCTCGAAGCCTGGGTGACCGGGGTTTCCTTCGGAGTGGCGGAAATCGACGTCGGTGGCGGGGATCCGAATGGAGGCGGGGCTGCCGCAAAGCCGTATTGCTGTTGTCCGGGAACGGCTGCCGCTGGTGGTTGTTGCGCTGGTTGCTGCGGGGGACGCGGAGCCGGTGCACCGTATGGGTTCGGTGCGGGTTGCGCAACAGCGCCCTGGGTCGATGGGAGAGAATTAGCCATGGACGCCATTCCCCATGGATCGGAGGATGCTCCCGTAGGCACCATTTGTTGCTGCTGCTGGGTTGGAGGACCAGCAGGAGCGGTGTTGGACGGTGGCAGAGCTGCATATGCGGGCTGTTGTTGCGGGGTTGGGGCTCCGTACATGTCACCAGGATACTGCGAGGTCGATGGGGGCAATGCCGCAACTGGGGCAGGGGCACTAGTTTATCATGGTCGGAAATCAGAAAAACACGAAAAATCGGGAGTTGAGGGCATGTTGCACCGTAATGTATCATACGACGAAATCCGAATCACGAAGTGAAGGCGTCATTACAGTGCACTTACGCAGGGGTCATGAAATCCAACAACAAGTTGTCCGCGGCTGGTGCCGGGGCGGGAGCGGGCCTTCGGTTCGGGGAAGGTCCCTCCTTGAGCGAGTTTTCAATGGCCTGGCGCAGGTAGGCATCCTCCTCCTCGGGGTTGTGGGGGGCCTCGATCGAAGCAATGTTGTTAGAGTTCATCGAGCGCACATCGCCACCACCGGCGCCATTGGCATAGGGAACCATGTCGCCACCACCACGACCACCGTAATTGTCGTAGCCATTGTTGCTGCGGTTGCCATAATTGGACGCATCCCTCCGCCGACCGCTGCTGCTTCCTCCCGCTCCGCGTGGATCGTTGGGGGCCAAACCCAAGCGAAAGACTTTGGGAAAGGTAAAGAAGGACTGGCCGTCCACAAAGAAATCGTACTGCCGGAATCCAGGGGCGGCAGACATGGGCGGCTGGGCATGGGCAGCGATCTTGAGGACATGGTTCCCCTTCATGGTCCAGGAAAATTCGAATAAGTTATTTCGACTGGACGAAAAATGGGTTTCCTTCCCATCCATCAAAACCAAACGTTTTCCGGAGGTAATGCTCCACACGATCGTCACGTCGTGCTCTTCACCGCGGCAATCCGTTCCGGTTTGTCCGGCGGCCAGGGCGTCCGCGTTGGCGAATCCAAATCGCCTGTGTGTAATTGATCCGATCCGATCCAATTGAATTGCATGTAATTTGGTTTCAAAACCCAGCAAAAACATAGTAGAGTGTATACAGCACACCGAACCAGTTCGAGTTGTGATTGCAATTGCGACCGAGTCAACGAGTGAGATACACTGATTGTTCCTAATACAGCGGTCAGCGCCGGATCCATTTCTACCAATCCACTCGATTGCATCCAATGGAGCATCGAGACGCTCGACCCAAACGAACCATCAAGACAAAGAGAAACGCATCGCGGCGCAGCGCAACGCCCACAAAAACACTTACCATCGAACGCGGCGTTTCGAACTGGCAATTCGTTTCCCACTCGCTACTGCTGTGAAATCGATTTGGTACACCGGGCTTCGCCCGGCACCTCCTCCGCCGCCGTTGTGAAACATGATTGGCGATGCTGTTCTATCGTAGGATGGGTTGGTTCAATTTGGTCTCGATATGATCGACCGATGTATTCGTGATACTTTTTCGATTGAGATTCGTGTTGTGAGGTTGTTCTCCGACGGTCGCGATGTACTTCGTACTACTGATGGCAGAAAGAGATCCGAAATGACCCACAACTGTCTGACAATGCCTTTTAAGTGCTCCTTTACTATTCACTAGTGACCTATCTTCCTCCAAATTCCTCTTGAAGAATAGAAGGGTAGAGTCGCGTTTTACTGTTTTGTGGAGAGAGATCCGATCGAATCGTTCCTTCAATGGTTTGTTGGCGCTGGGGGGTGGTGGTTTTGAAATATCGAGGTGCCGAATCATTCGATACACGGCACTACTACGAACTACAGGGTAAGAATCAAAACACGAAAACTAAAGACCGCCTTTCTGTCAAAACAACCACCTTCACGAGGCGTTGCGGTCATCCGCATCGATCTGATTCGACCAACGCGATCTTCGGATTGTAGGGTACCATACTACCGTAACGCAACGCAACTTACGGTACGTACTCGTACCTCCGCAAGTGTGTGGCGGGTCAAGCATGTACCGTACTGTCCGTACCAGTAGTACGGTCTTCTCGAATTTCTGACTGCGCTACCCTACCGGTAGGTGTACGGTACTTTACGGTACGTAGTACGAGAACCGTACTCCCCTAGCATCCGGGAACAGGATGTTGTGCCTGGGACGCCTACGATACGGCCGTTGTTCGACTCACTCGCCTCGACCGTACGTACTACCGTACCGTAGCTTCTCGGTTACGCACGAGTATTAATCGTACACTGCTTCGACGCGGTTTCGAGGAGGGGTGCATGCCATCACGCGCTATCATTATCTTCATGTGTACACCCTTTCGATGCACGAACCAAAAATTCTATCCGTTGGGACGAATAATTTGGGAAGCATGGTTCCCGAAAATTTTCATACCGGCCATTCCTCCGTACAAACGTACAAGTTACAGTAATAAATTTGTTCCCTAATTGGGTCATTCCCGTAAACATTGATTTTAAGAAAATTGAATTAGATTCCAGTCGTGCAGACATAGAAGTATGTATTTAAGACACAAATACATAGATTTCTGGTTGTTGGAGGCCCACGGCTGCCAAAAGTATGTATGCAAACACATACTTTTTTGGAATCATGGACTCAAAAAACCCTTAGTCGCGAGCATCTGACAGCCGGTTCTCAAGTGTCACCAGGAGCCAGGGGAGCCCAAAACGGTGCACCAAAACAAATCTAAAGTGTCACAAAATCATCAAGCACGCCAAAACAAATCTAAAGTGTCACGATTGCAGTGTCCGGTTAGGGACACCAAACTGAAAAAAATGAATTGCTGCATCAAATGGGTATCGATGCTTGCTGACAGAAATTTTGGATCATTAAAAAGGAACATCGACTACCCCGACAACGCGCTGTTACCCTGGCAATGTCACTAGAATTCATTATCCTTTGTGTAGCTCTCCACAATGAGCTGGATAAAGAGCTGTCTCCAGAGGAGAGGCACAGAAGGGAAAGGAGGACGCCAAGGATTGCAATCAGGAGATGGAATCAGTCGCCGTTCCTCCACTTGTATAGTTCTGGCAATGAGCAAGCCCTTCTAAACTGCTGTGGTGTAGACCACAGGATCTTCAGAGGACTGATGGCACTCTATGCACCAGTATTCAACATGTACATGATTGATGAAGCAACAGGCCGCATAAGAAAGAGAAGCTTCCACAGGAATGGAATGCCAAAGGGACGCCACAGGGAAGCAAATGCAACATGCTGTCTTGGGTTAACACTGCACTGGTTCAGGACTCGTGGATCAGTGGCAAGAGGCCTCTCCATGGCCTTTG